ATATGGAAGACTGAGCCCCAGGGAATGAGAGGACTGTGGCTGTACTGTGGAGTTTCCCTCCGGGCATGACGTGTTCACCATCTTGGAGAAGAGAGTACCTGGACCCTGTAGCCATGCCAACTAACTTAACTGATGGGAACAATACAGAGGTACCCTGTAGATGGTGATGGTAATGAACCACTGACACTTCCTAGTAAGAGGAGGGGAGAGTCAGGGTCCCTCGCTGGGATTCCATCTGCAACTCCCTCCTGCCCTCCCCTAGCTGCCAGCGATCTTGAAAGATGCTAGAGTATACCGGAAGTGGAGGGTTGACTAAAAGGAGACTCTGTGATGTAGCTTCCATGAGGTCATCATGGGGTAGGGCTTTGGCATGACTCAAGGGTCACTCAGGCTCCTCAGTCATCCCTCATCCATGCTCAGTAAGGAAGCCCAGTAAACTCATTGGGTAGACTTGTGCTTTGAAATGTCATTGATGCCCTATCTGGGGTGAATAGACGTTTGTGCAAATCTTCCCAGGAAAAGTTAATGCAACAACTGGCCTGTGGGGTCCCCATGACTGTCTTTTTTTTTTTTTAAGTTTTTCATAGAAAGGTTTCTCTGTGTAACTTTGGAGCCTGTCCTGGAACTCCCTCTGTAGACCAGGCTGGCCTCGAACTCACAGAGATCCGCCTGCTTCTGCCTCCCAAGTGCCACCACCACCCGGCTTCCCCATGATTGTCTTTAGGGGACCACTCAGGGGGTCTCTAGGTGAGTTCTGCCATAATAAAAAATCCAGGTCAGTTGCTTAGGTTTGGAAAAGGAGTTGATGTCAAATTACCCATCTGAGTGAGCTTTATTAGGAGAGAGAGAAAAGGGAAGGGGAGGAGGGAGAAAGGGATGGTGGGGGAGACCTGTGACTACAGGATGGGGTGGGCACGATCAGGCCTTGAGGTAGAAGAGCAGCTACGAGAGACAGTGTTGCCACACCAGAGACGGCAAGATGGGGCCGTGAAGGGAGGGAGAAGCTTCCCTTCCACTGGAGAGAACCACCCCCTGAGGCGCAACTTCATCAGATCAGCTAGGCTTGCAGGGGACTGTCACAGTCAGGCTGTGGACTGCTGACATTCCCCCATGGAAGGAGGAGCTGGAGGGAGATCTCAGCCACTCCTCACAGCCTTGTGTGTGTAATTCTGTCCTAGATGCTTGTGGCCTCGCGGGGGTACTAGACTGGGGAAGGTTACCCGGGAGCTTCCTGTATGTGGCTGTGGGAACGCCATCATCTGCACTGAGTGTAGACTTCTTAGTGTGGCTTCTTTAGGGTGACCCATGCTCTGTGAACAAGTCTGATAACCTCAGTGGTCCCCCATGGTAATTGTCCTAGTTAGGAATACTATTGTTGTGATGAAACACCATAACCAAAGGCAACTTGGGGAGGAAAGGGTTTATTTGGCTTACCCTTCCACATCATAGTTCATCACCGGAAGAAGTCAGACAGAACTCAAACAGGGCAGGAATCTGGAGGCAGGAACTGATGCAGAAGCCATGGAGGGGTGCTGCTTACTGGCTTGCTCTTCATGACTTGCTCTGACTGCTTCCTTATAGAACCCAGGACCTCCAGCCAGAGATGACACCACTCACAGTGGGCTGGGCCCTCTCCCATCAATCACTAATGAAGAAAATGCCCTACAGCTGGATCTTTTATGGAGACGTTTTTCTCAATTGAGGTTCCTTCCTTTCAGAGGACTCTAGCTTGGGTGAAGTTGATGTAAAGGTAGCCAGCACAGGAAGTATACTTTGGCTTGTCATTGGAACCTTACAAGGAGGGATAGATGTTTATGTTGCCCCAGGGCAGGAATTCTCCCAACACCTTCAAAACCCAAGAGGAAGGGTGACTCAGTGCTCCAGAATATGCACTGCTCTTGTCGAGAACCAGAATTTGGCCCCCCAGCACCCACATCAGGTGGCTTACAACTGCCTGCAACTCTAGCTAAGGTGTCTACAACGCCCTCTTCTACACATATCCCCGCACACAAACACATAATTAAAAATAAAAACTAGCCGGGCGGTGGTGGCGCACGCCTTTAATCCCAGCACTCGGGAGGCAGAGCCAGGCGGATCTCTGTGAATTCAAGGCCAGCCTGGTCTACAGAGTGAGATTCAGGAAAGGCGCAAAGCTACACAGAGAAACCCTGTCTCGAAAAACCAAAAAAAATAAAAATAAAAATAAAAAAACTAAAAAAAAACAATTAAAATCTCAGGAGAAGCTGAGAAATGCTCAAAGTGGGAGAGGGAGGGGGAGCTACCACATGCAGCATGATGGGGGCCCTGGAGGAAGAGACAGGCCCTTCATTTTCCTTTTAGAAAACATGAACAGAGGGAATTTTCTGGCTTGCATTAGTGTTCAGGGAGTGTTGGGAGTTCCACACCGTATGACTTAGTCTGGCCTGGTCCATACATCAAGGGGCACAAACCACATACTTATTTTGACCTTGCGTGGGGCAGGTCAAGGCCACAGCACAGCACTGCTTCTTATCAACTATCTCTGTCCCAAAGGGAACTACAGGGGTACATGGTTCTATTTCTGGAGGAGAGAAGGTCAGTTGGAGGGTCTGTGGTCTAACAGGAACCAGAGCCCATAATGGCCCTAGTCACTTCCACAGAAGGGCCCAGACAGCTTTAAGAGCTTGTGGTAACTTGTGTTTTTCAAAGCTGGCTGTGCCACCTCTCTTATGGGGACACTCTACTCTTTCAGGGTAACTTTGGCCTTCCTTCTTCTGAGCATTGAGGTCTGTCTTCTATTTTGTAAAATCCTGGATTTCAGGATTCAGTGGGGACACGAAGGCAGATTGTCCTTTGGGGCAAGAGATTGATCAAAAGAAATATTGATGACGTAGACAGCACAGCACAGTATGTTCTGAAGAGAGTTCTGACCCACGAGGCAATGTGGGGGCTCCCCTCTGGCCTGGTTTCATTCTCTGTTGCTGTGATAAAGTACCTTGACAGAGAGAAACTTAGTGGAGAAAGGTTTCTTTTAGCTCACAATTCCAGGTCACAGGTCGACCTTCGCTGCAAGGCAGTCAAGGCAGGGTCTAGAAGCAGCTATTCACATCCCATCCACAGTCAAGAATGGAGAGCAAGCCGGGCGGTGGTGGCGCACGCCTTTAATCCCAGCACTCGGGAGGCAGAGCCAGGCGGATCTCTGTGAGTTCGAGGCCAGCCTGGGCTACCAAGTGAGTTCCAGGAAAGGCGCAAAGCTACACAGAGAAACCCTGTCTCGAAAAAACCAAAAAAAAAAAAAAAAAAGAATGGAGAGCAATGCAAACATGCATGCTTAGTGCTCAGCTAGCTCTCTCTATTCTTATACAGTCTGGGATCCAAGACCAGGGAACACCACCACACACAATGGGTAGATTTTCTGTTGCTATTTTTTCTTTTTACTCTTTTTCACTCTTTACTCTTTGGAGGGCCCACCACCCAGTTCCCAAATAAATTCACACAGAGAGACTTCTTTCTTATAAATGCCCGGCCTTAGCTTGGCTTATTTCTAGCCAGGTTTTCTTAACTTAAATTTTCCCGTCTATCTTTTGCCTCTGGGATTTTACCTTTCTTTATTTCTGTGTACCTTATCTTTCCTTCTTATTCTGTGTCTGGCTGTGTGACTGTGTGACTGGCCCTTGGAATCCTCCTCTCCTTCTCCTTTCTTTTTTCTTTTTTTTTTCTGGAGCTGAGGACTAAACCCAGGGCCTTGCACTTGCTAGGCAAGTGCTCTACCACTGAGCTAAATCTCCAACTCCTCCTTCTCCTTTCTTGCTCCTTGATCCATTCTCCTCCAATCTATTCTCTCTGCCTGCCAGCCCCGCCCATCCTTTCTCCTGCCTAGCTCTTTATTAGACCATCAGGTGATTTAGACAGGCAAAGTAACACAGCTTCACAGAGTTAAACAAATGCAACATAAAAGAATGCAACACATCTTTGCATAATTAAAACAAATGTTCTACGGCATTAAAAAAAAATAGAATGCGTCTTAAAATAATATTCCACAACAGTTTTTCCCACTTCAGTGAACTATAATCAAGACAATCTCCCATGGACATCTCCACAGGTCAACCTGATCTAGGCAATTTCTCATCCAGCCTCTCTTCCCAGGGGATTCTAGCTTGTGTCAAGGTGATATTTTAAAACTTACTTTCAAAACTTAATCACTCATTCACATAGGTTTTGAAGAGAGGAGGGAGGTGCCGTGGCGTGTCACAGATGATTAACCCATAGCGTGTGCTTGCAATCAGGTTCTCTCCGTTCCCCTGCGTGAGATAAGGGACAAGTGGACAGCCCTTCAGGAGTGTGTGTCCTTACCCCGATGTGTCACCTGTAGGGACTGACAGATTTGGGTGCTTGGGGAAACTTCCTTTGTGGAAGTGGGAACCATGGTCTCACAGAAGGTCACAATAGGTCAGACAGAGAGAAAGAGAGAGAGAGAGAGAGAGAGAGAGAGAGAGAGAGAGAGAGAGAGAGAGAGAGAGGGAGAGAGAGGGAGAGGGAGGGAGGGAGAGAGACTGCTGCCGGTGAGCATGGCCTGAGTAGCCCAGAGCCCAAGCCTAATACAATTGACCCTGTCACATGTAGCACAGCAGAAAGGATGTCCTTGATCCCTTGAAAATTCCGTGCAGGGCCTTCGAGACGGCTCAGCAGGCAAAGGGGCTTGCTGCCAAGCCTGGCGGCCTGGGTTTGATTCCTGTAACTTACATGATAGAAGGAGAGAACCAACTCCCATTAGTTGTTTTTGACCCCTTCATATGCACCATAACACACACACACACACACACACACACACACACACACACACTCACACACACACACACTCACACACACACACACTCACACACACACACACACACACATACACACACACACTCACACACACACACACACTCACACACGCACGCACGCACACACACACACACACACACACACACACAACCAATAAATGAATACAATACTGTTTTGCTTCCGTTTATTTCCAGGGGTATTCGTGTATGGAGCCCGTCTCTCACCGCCCGGGAAGGAGTTTTGAGCTTCTGGCTGACAGGCAGGACCACCCGCCATCTCATGCACCATCTTTGAGTAGAGTCCAAGCTCCTGTCTTGCCTTCTGGCCAATGCACCACGGAGTGAAGACAAGCCTTTCCCACCAAACCCTGTTCATGTTATAGATCCATGAGGGACATAAGGCAACATCCAAAGCCATTCACCATTATATCCCAGCAATCAATATGTAACAGGTATGACCCAGATGCATGTGGCAGCCAGACTTGGTCTTTTGGGAAAGTGTTACAGATCACTTGTTCATCTATATTTATTTATATATTTATTTTATGCATATCTGTGTGTGTGCATGCACACATGCGTACACGTGCATACTGGGGTGAGTACATGCATGACTGTACACCGGCATGTGGAGGACAGATGTCAGCCTTGAGTGTTGTTCCTCGGGAGCCAACCACCTTGTTTTAGGAGACAAGGTCTCTCCCTGGCCTAGGACTTGGCGATTTTGCTAGATGAGCTGGCCGGTGACCTGCCTGTCTCTGCCTCCCCAGTGCTGGCATTACAAACATACGTCACCCTGTCGACTTTTTATACGTGAGGCTTTGGATTAAACTCAAGCCCTTGTGCTCGCATGGCAAGCCCTTTACTGACCTAAGCTGAGCCACCTCCCAGGCCCTGGTGTAACCGTTTATTTTGTTAAGCAATTTTTAATGTTCTTATTCTATTTCTTTATTATGTATGTATGTGTGCACATGAGTGTGCCACACTGTGTGTATGGAGGTCAGAGGACAGCTTGAGGGGGTCACTTCTCTCCTTCCACCGTGTGGATCAAACTCAGGCCAGCAGGTAAGCACCTCTACCCACTGAGCCATCCGGCTAGCCTGTGATGTTACCATTTAGATGTGATATGGGCCTTAAAGTCCCACGTGTTGCAGGCTCGGCCTCCTCTAGCCCACACTCCTCCCATGATGCACTGGGCCACCGTAGCCTCAAAGCATGGTCTGAAAGCTTTAAAACTATAAGCCAACGTAACTTTTTCTCCCTTGTTAAGTTGGTTGTTTCGGGTATTTTTTTTTTTTTTTTTTGGTTTTTTGAGACAGGGTTTCTCTGTGTAGCTTTGCGCCTTTCCTGGAACTCACTTGGTAGTCCAGGCTGGCCTCGAACTCACAGAGATCCGCCTGGCTCTGCCTCCCGAGTGCTGGGATTAAAGGCGTGCGCCACCACTGCCCGGCTTGTTTCGGGTATTTTGTTACAGTTGCAGAAGGCTAATTCGCATGGGTTTCTGTGTGCAAGCATTTAAACTGGTCAGGTGTGGATATATACAATTTATATATACAAATATATACATTTAGAATCCTGTGTGTGCACCTGTTCGAACGGCTGCACACCTGTGTGTGCACAGTCACATACGTGTGCATGCCTGTGTCTAGAGGCCAGAGGACAGTCTCAGGTGTTATTTCCCCAGGAGCTGTCCACTTGGTTTTTTTTTTTTTTTTGAGACAGTTTGTCACTGGCCTGGAGCCAACTCAGTAGGCTAGTTGCCTGGCCAGTGACCCCAGGAATCTGCCAAGGCTGCTCCCCGGTGCTGGAGTTACAAACATGCACTGTTGCACCTAGCTTCTTTTTATGCAGGTCCTGGGTGCTCAGGCTTGCACAGCAAGTTCCTTACCAACTGAGTCATCTCCCCAGCCCCTCAAACCAACTTCTCCAAAAGCATCTACAAATACATCTGAAATACATTGTATCCGTTGCCTGCAAGAGCCTCTTTTGGAGGACCTGCCGGCTCACTGGTAAGAAACGCCTTTAAGGAGGTCTGTCTGGGCTCTTATTGCTTCTGTTCAATAAACACTTAAGGCCACAATATTTACACGGTTGCTAACATGCCCACTCCCGAGCATTCTTAGAAACCTCTTTAAACAAGGTCTGCAAATACTGCCACATTCCTCACATCCAGTGCTAAAATCACCCCAGGAGTCCTTGCTTATCCACAGATGCCAGGGATGGTGTGAAGAGACTCTCTCCCAGCCTCTGAACAAACAGATCATTCTGGAAGCTTCTTAGAAATGATAGCTTCTGTTGGGAGCTGTTAGTCAGGCCTGAGACAGCCCCCCATCAGTTTACCATTGTTAGCTTGCATTGTTTTTCTCTTTTATTTCTTTTTTTACATGGTACTGGGATTGAGCCCATGACCTCACATGCTAGGGAGTTACTTGAACACTGAGCCACACCCTAGCCCCTCACTGGGGGATTCTAGGCAGGTGTTCTACCACTGAGCCACACCCCAGCCCTTTACTGGGAGATTCTAGGCAGGTGCTCTACCACTGAGCCACACCCCAGTCCCTTACTGGGAGATTCTAGGCAGGTACTCTACCACTGAGCCACACCCCAGCCCCTCACTGGGGGATTCTAGGCAGGTGCTCTACCACTGAGACACACCCCCAGCCTCTCACTGAGGGATTCTAGGCAAGTGCTCTACCAGTGAGCTATGCCACAGCCCCTCACTGGGGGATTCCAGGCAAACAAGATATTGCTGAGCTACATCTCCAGTCCTATTCACTTTTTAAAAAATGCAATTTATTAATTTAGTGTGTATGCCTTGTTGCATGTGCTGAGGTCAAAGGAGAACTTGCAAGATTCAGTTTTCTCATTCCACCACAGGAGTTCTAGGGATTAAACTCAGGTCTTAACAGCAAGAACCTTCACAGTCTGGACCATCTCACTGGCTTTTTTATTTTTCTACTTGGAGATGGTGTCACCAAGTTGCCCAGGCTGACCATGAACTCATAATCTTCCACTCAGCCTCCACAATATCTGGTAGCTAGAATGACAGACTTATATCACCAGCCATGTCTTTTATTTATTTGCATGTCTTTTTATTTGTTTGTTTCTTGTAACTGTTTGTTCCAATGAAGCTTTTCATTTTTGTTGTTTTTTCCCCTCTTTGTAGCTGGTATTTCTGTGTTCCGACATCTGGGACTCATTAATGATCTTCTGAGTTCCTAACAGCTTGGGCAGGCCTACGTACCAGCTTACCAGCCATCTGCAACACACACATAGGCTCAGGTAGTCTCCACTCTACACCAACTGCTGTCCTTGATGGTTGTCCCACACTCCTGGCATCTCCAAATGCTGGAGTCTCCACTGCACTTGAGGCTGAACCCATGGCCTCTCCTCAGGGAGACTCTGGCCCTGCTACCCAGCGACAAGCCTCAGTTTCCCTCCATGACCTCTTTGTGTATTCCAAATCAGCACCCTGTAAGAAATTCTTACACACTATCTGTCAAGTCTTCTTGCCAGCTTGCTGTGCGGCCTGGGGCTGGTCTCTCATTGGACCGCAGCTTCTATGTGCTGACTCTAAGGAAATACTTCCCAGAAGATTTTGCATCAGTGATGCTGGGTTGTTTTTTTTTTTTCCTTTCTTAATCACAGTTGGTTTTTCAGCCCTAGCTAACCAGCATTGATTTTCCCAGTAAAGCAAATGTTTCACTTCAGTGGTGCTGGTCTCTTGTTAATTACAGCTGATTCTTCAGGCTTAGCTGATCAGAACCCTGGGTTCTTAATTCAAAACATCACACAAATAGCCTTGTTAGTGTCTTTGAGCGACTCTCAGACTTCCCTCTGAAACGTCACAAGCCAGGTCTCCATTATCTGTACTGCTCTCAGCGTTATCTTCCAAGTTCTCACAAGAGCTCAGTAAGCTCTGAGTACTCAAAACTTTGCCAGCACAGAGCTCCACAGTCCTCATTTGCTTCACACAAAAGGGTCCAAGTCATAAAAGCCACAAGGCTAGCTCCAGCACAGCCATACCCCACTTCTGGTACCAATTTCTGTCTGGTTCCAATTTTGTTTGCTTCTTTGTTGCTGTGATAAAACACTGAGCAAAAGCAACGTGGACAGGATGAGGCTTTAGTTTACTGTCCACCACCGAGGGACATCAAAGGCAGGAATCCAAGCAGGAACTCGAAGGCAGAACAGAAGCAGGAAACAGAGGAATGCTGCTTACTGACCTGCTTCCCCCGGCTAGCTCAGCTACCCTTTTTATGTAGCCCAGGCCCACTTGACCAGGGATACCACCACCTACACTTGGCTGAATCTTTCTATCAAGAAAATGCTGACACAGACGAGCCCACTGGCCAAGCTAATGAAGGCAATTCCTCGGTTGAGATTCCTTCTTCCCAGGTATGACTAGATCGATTGGAAGTTGATAATAAATAAATAAATAAATAAATAAATAAATAAATAAATAAATAATTAATTTTAAAAAAACAGCATAAGGGGGAAAAGAAGGGGTGATTGTCTTCATTTGGTTTTCTGAGACAGGCCTCATTATGTAGTCCCGGCTGGCCTGGAACTCACAATGTAGTCCAGGCTAACCTCCAACTCACTGAGATCCACCTTCCTTTGTCTCTTAGTGCTGGGATTAAAGGCATGCTTAACTATGCCTGGCAAGGGATGCAGTTTTGGAACAGTTCACAGGGGAGAGCTCAGCTTCTGTAGGAGACTCCCTGAGTCCAGCCATACCCGAGTCGCAGCTGCTTCCAGCTGGCTGAGGTTCTGGATGGATGCTCATACCATTCCACTTCTCCTGTGCCTGTCTTTTCCCGTTGTCTGCACCTCCAGAAGCTGTGGGGCCCATAAGAAGCCCGCTCCTCCGTCAGTGCTCTGCCACCGTGTCTCTGAAGCCAGATTCACTCTGGCATCCTGAGGCTCCTTTTGCTGACCTTGAGGCCAGTCCCAGTGAGACCACAGCCCCAGAACTATACCCCCAACATCTTGCTAGAACCAGGATGGACGGCTCCTCTCCTTGGGTACCATGCTGGGGTGGCCAGGGCTATTCTAAAGAATGGGTCAGGGTTAGGGAGGCTGCTCAGTGAGTAAGAGTACTTGCTGTATAAGCATGAGTTCCTGAAGTTCAGATCCCAGCAACCACAGAAAACACTGGATGTGGCCATGCACGCACCTGCAACCCCAGTGCTGTAGGAGGCAGAGGCAAGAGGATCACTTGGGCATGCTGGCCATCAGTCTAGGTCTAGATTCAATGAGATTCTATATCAAAAGAATAATATGAATAGTGATATAGAAGGACACCTGATGTCCTTCTCTAGCCTACATCCATTACAGTCACATTCAGCTGTACACAGATGCCTCTCTCTGTGTCTCTGTCTGTCTCTGTCTCTGTCTCTCTGTCTGTTTGTCTCTCTCTCTCTCTCTCTCTCACATACACACACACACACACACACACACACACACACAGAGAGAGAGAGAGAGAGAGACAGAGAGAGAGAGAGAGAGAGAGAGAGAGAGAGAGAGAGAGAGAGAGAGAGAGAGAATAGACCAGACACATGTTGTCTTTACTGATATCACCAACCACCTCAGGATTTCTCAGCCTCCCCTCTTGCTTCCTCAACGGTCCCCTCTCAAGCAGCACAAAGGCCCCCCACAGCCTCTTCCCACGCCACAGCTTGTGCCAATGAAATCTGTGTTCTTGCCTAAAATCCTTTTCCTCCTTGAAAAGCCCTGCTCTTGCAAAGAAAGCCTCCAAGCTTTCAGAACATTGCCTCTGCTGTGAGCTTTTCAACATTCTCCTGGAGAGTCCATTGATTTATTTGTTCTTAGCTCTGTCCGCAGTCCCCCTGAGGCAGCTGGGGCCCTTGACTCAACAGGCAGAGGAGGCCATGGAGTCAGGAGAAAATGAAGGAAAAGATTAAAAAAAAAAAAAAAAAAAAAAAAAAGCTTGGTTACAGCTCCAAAATGCATCTCATCAGAAATGCATCAGCTGCATGGAGGGGCCATGCACAGCACAGCAGGAGCCAGGGCGCATGGAGGGCCAGCTGTCCCCCATGCCCTGGTAGGCACTCCTAGGCATGTCACCTGCCTGTCCAGCATTCCCTGCTCACAGTGCAGCATGTTTGGGCCTTGCCAGGGTACCATGTTGCATCCCAGTATCCCTCATTGTAGATAAGTGAGGTGAGAAATAACATGGGTCAGGTGGGGATGTATATAGGTGAGGTAGATGGGTGAATGGCTAAATGTGGATGGATGGATGGATGGATGGATGGATGGATGGATGGACGGATGATGGACAAATGGATGGATGGATGGATGGATGGATGGATGGATGGATGGATGGGTGAATGATGGACAAATGGATGGATGGATGAATGGACAAATGGATGGATGGATGGATGGATGGATGGATGACTGATAGGTGGATGGGTGAATGGATTGGATGGGTAGATGAGTGAATGATGGATAAGTAAATGGATGGGTGATCGACGGATGATTGAATGGATAAACTGAATGGATAAATGGATGATTGATGGATGAATAATGGATGAATGGGTTTATGGGTGATAGATGACTAATGAATGTGTGGATGGATAGATTGTTTAGATGGATGGATAATGGATGGATGATAGATGGATGTATGGATGATGAATGGATGGATGAACTATGAGTGGATAGATGATGGATGAATGGATGGATAAGTTGGATGGGTGGGTGAATGGATTGGATAGATAAATGGATAGATGGTGATAGGTAGATGATTGACAAATGACAACTCAAGCATTAGATAGTCCCGCTGGTACCCTGGTGTTAGTCAGTAATATAAAGAGCTGCCCTGGAAACAGGATCAAAACATTAGGACAGATTTTTTTCCACATTTGAAACCCTCCTGGGCTTCGGACCTTGCAGGGAAGTGATAATTTTCAGCCCCTAGGAGACTTGGCATCTGGGCAGGAGTGAGAAAGCAGCAGGTGCCAGTAGGACCATGCCAGGGGAAAGCAGGATTTTAGGAAGATCAGCCCCCAGCAGCAAAAACCAACATCAGCCATCGCCACTGATGAGGCCAGCCACTGAGAAGCCAGAGGATTTGCCAGACTTACTCGGGTTACAAAAGATGTGAGTAGCTCAAGTGACCTTGGGAAAGAACAAGGTTAGCACACTCATGCTGCACTGCTGGACTCAGGACACCCTACAAAACTACAGTAAACGAAAAAGCCTGGCATTGGCTAACTGTAAGCAGAAAGACCCATGAACTCAAGGGTGAGCCTTGGCACAGACACACGCATAGATGATGACTGATTTTTAGCTGTGTGAGTTCATGTGCATGCAGGTGTGTGCCTGTGTGTGAGTGCCTTGTGACCAGAGGTGAGCCTCGGGTGTGGCTGCTCAGGCACTAGCCATCTTGCTTCTTGAGATAGAGACCCTCACTTTTACCCAGAACTTGCCAATTCATCAAGACTGGCTGGCCAGTGAGCCCCAGAGCCCCACCTGTCTCTGCCTTCCCAGCTGGAATTACAAAAGGCCAACCAATACATCTGGCTTTTTTCACATGGGTTTTTCATGGGGATAAAATCTGGGTCCCCTGGTTGCAGAGCACCACGGATGGCTAACTTCTGACAAAGTGGCAAAGGCTGTGTGGTGAAACTGTGATGCTTGGGTGTCCCTATGTGCAAAGAATAAACACGGAATGGCAGTTTGCTCCACATACAAAACCAACCCTAAATGGGCCGTGGACCTTCATACATGTGAAACCTAAAATTATCAAATTTCTGTCAGAAAACATGGAAAATCTTTGTGTCTTTGTTTAGATAAAGATTGTTTTAAAGCTGGGTGGTGGTAGCACATGCCTTTAATCCCAGCACTCTGGGATTAAAGAGACAGGTGGATCTCTGTGAGTTCGAGGCCAGCCTGGTCTACATAGTGAGTTCCAGGACAGCCAGGACTACTTCACAGAAAAACCCTATCTAAAAAAACAAAAACAAAAATGAACAAACAAAAAGATTGTTTTAAGTATGGCATCGAAAGCCTGATCTATTTCATTAAAAATCTACTCTTTTTAGGCTAGAGCTCAATGATGAAGGACTTGACTGGTAGAAGGCCCTGGGTTCAAGCCCCAGCACCTCAGAATAAAATATGAATAAACAAACAAGGAAATAAGTAAAGAAAACCATTAACACCTAGCCTGTAGTCCCAGCTGTGGATGACTGTGGCAGGGGTGAGAGGGTGTGGGGTAGGGGTGGGGTCATTTGAGCCCAGGAGTTTGAGATCAGCTGGGGAACAAGACATTTCCCCAGGGATAGTACTAAAAGGCCACCAAATGACATGAAAAAGGCGTTGAGCATCGCACAGAGTTAGTGTAAATCACCGCCTCAGTGGGACGCAGTGCCATCTCTCACCAATAAGTTCACCATCACCTTAGAAAAGAAAATAAGGCTGGGGACATGTGTCGGCTGGTAAAGCACTTGCCCTGCGAGCACAAAGACCTGTGTTGCATCCTCAGAAGCCTTGTGACAAAGCTAGCCATAGTGGCCTGGGCTTACTGAGGAGATGGGCAATTGAGAGATGAGATCTGTCACGAGATGGGTGGATCCCTGGGATTTTCTAGCCAGCCAGCCTAGTCTAACAAGTTCTAGGCCAGTGAGAGACCCTGACTCAAAAACCAAGGTGGATGGGCTGGTGAGATGACTCAGTGGGTAGAGATGCTCGCTGCCAAACCTGACCACCCGAGTTCAGTCCCTGGAACCCGCATCGGGGAGGACCACACATGTGGAGAAAGTGGAGCCTCACACAAGCTGGTGGGACTGTAAAATGGTACGGCCGCCATGGAGGACAGTCCAGGATTTTTGCAAGACTGTCTACATAGACTTCCCACGTGACCCAGAAACCCTGTTCCCCACTGTGTACTCCAAAGAAAATGGGTGCTAGGGTTTGGCTGAGAATCGTCGCCCACAGGCTCGTGCATTTGGACACTTGGGACTCAGCTGGTGGCACTGTGGAACCTTGGAGTCTGGGAGCACGGTTGATGGAGATGGGTCCCTGGGGCCGGACCACTGAGGGTGCCCACCTGCAGACTTCTGCCCTCCTGTCTACTGCAGGATGTGGCGAACTGTCACAATGGGCCAAACCCTCTGAAATCTTGAACCGGAAAAGCCCCTCTCCCTTGAATTGTTTCTCTTAGGTGTGGTTTGTTTGTTTTGTTTTCACAGTGATGAGAAAGGTGACTGAGACACAAGGACTCCATAGTCACGTGTCCAAAGTGCTCACTACTACGCTATTCACAGCAGACAGTGCAAATGAGTGGATGGGCAAGGCAGAGCCCACGGGTACCCAGCTCTCAGCTGATGGAAAAGAGTGGGCCTGAAGTCACTGCTGGGTGATACAGCCAGGCACGGAATGGCGCTGTCACACAGTCCCCTTTTATCCAGAGAGACAGAGGGTACGTGGGAGGAGGGAAAGAGGAAGAGGAGGGGGAAGAGGCTGGGCATGATGGTTCATGCCCATTTTCCCAGCATTTGGCAGGCCAAGACAAGAGGATTGCCACAAGTTCAAGGCCAGCTGCCTGGACTGCAGTTCAAGACCAGTCAGGGCTACATAGTAAAACCCTGCCTCACAAAGAGAGAGATGGGGGGTAGGGGGGAAGGAGAGGAAAGGGGGGAGTGAAGAAGGGCAGGAGAGGAGATGAGGAAGAAGAGGTGAGGAAGGAAAAGGAAGGGAGGGGAGAGGAGAGACCAGACAGGACAGCAAGCAAGCAGAGATGACATTAAACGGGAATGAAGCAAGGGGAAGGTTCTAGAGAGCGTTCCGCCCCTGTCATGCTGGGCCTCCGGATTAAGTGGCCTTACTTTCCACCAACTCTTCACTGCCCGGACACCTGCTCAGTGTCCTCTCAAGGTCAGGGGAGGTGCCTAACAGCCCAAGGACTCAGCCAGCCTTAAACCTGAGTCTCAGCTAATCCGGATGGCAGGCAGGTGGCCTGGGCTGTGGCGAGCTGTGGAGGGGGAGGGGCGCGGTGCTGGCCTCAGGGCTGGAGCAGGGACTTTCCCATCTGCACTCGCTTGGCCTCAGGCCAGTGAACCAGCTGCTGGACCTCGGGGCCACCTCCCTTCCGGAGGTCTTAAGCCTGGAGTCCAAAGACCTGGCCGACTTGGCGACCCCAACTGCCCTCTCAGCACCCCCTTCTAGCTCCCCAGGGCATAGCATCAGCAGGAGGCTTTCAAGTGGGGAGCTGACTACCCCACTAGAGGGCCGCAGGCTCTTCGCTGTAAGTCTCCACCAGTGCAGGGTACACCTCTTATGGCACGGAGGGGATTGTTTTTTCTTGGCGATGTGGTTCCAAAGTTTGGGGATACAAGGGACATGAGCTCCTGGCCACACTACTCTGCCCATGCTACTGGGCAGGAAGAAAGCAGGCCTGGGCTTCTCTCTGAAGCCCAGAATTTCACCTCTCCTTCACTGTAACAGGACGGAGCCCGGACTCTCCGCCTCCTCCCTAAACAGTGGGCTCCAAAGCCCTTAAGCATGCATGTAGGGGGAGGGGGCTGGTTCTCTATGCTGCTGCCGCTGGGCCATCCTGCCAGTGGCTGGGGGTGGCTCCTTGTCCTCAACCACCCCATCACATCCTTGTCTTTCTGGTTGCCAGATACCTCAGCATCCCCCATCCCTCAATCGGTGTGACCGCCTTCTGGCTCGTTGTGGCCAGTGAAGTAAAGTCCCCCCAGGTCCTGAGACCTCTTGCCCACCCCTCCCACAATACAAGCTTAATCGTGCCTCCCCCATTTCATATGCTGAAGTTCTAACCCACAGGCTCTGATAGGGTGGTTAAAGGACACGGGGTCATTGGGTGGGTCTGATGAGGGTCCTTATAAGAAAAGATTAGGGGGCTAGAGCGATGGCTTGGTGGCT